CCAGTCATTTTCATTTCTCATAAAATTTAGACTTATGTTTTTGGGCATCTCTTACTTGTCTGTTTAATAAACCATAATTCTATGGAAATTTTAGCTATCTCTTCCCATTGGAGTTTGTATCACTGATTTTGTAGGGAATGTTTACTAAAAACTGTCATTAATATAAATCTATCTTTGAGTGCAATGCTGGACACTACTGACATTTTAATATGTGGTGTTCTTGCTGATGTCATTTATTCAAAAAAGATGTTTTATGTAAGCACAGGTAGCTTCAAAAAAATTAAATCACCAGAATTGAGAGAGGAAAGAGATTTTTAACTTGTTAGCCAAATTAACTTTGACAATCAAAGGAAGGAAAGCTGTTATAATTGGGCTGTAGGGCCAGGGATTTAGCTTAGCAGCATAAGCACGTGTCTGACAAGCACGAGATCGTGCATTCCTTCCCTGGTGCCAAAAAGAAAAGTGCTGTATTCACCTGTTATTGTAGGATTGTCTGTGATAGCAAAGTAACCATGAAAACCTTGAATTTCTATCAACAGAAGAATAGTTCACTACATCATAGTATGTATAAAATACAAAATATCATATAAAAGAATGGTTGCTTTATAAATATATATAAATTGAGTTGTAGTTGCAAACAAATCTGTATAGCATGAACTCACTGTTATAAAGTGAAAAAGACTTCCAAATTCGAATATTTATATTTGCATTTATTACTTTTAGTATCAGAGAAAATGTGTCCTTTTATATGTGCCCTTTGACCTATTAATCTGTATTTATGATAATTAACTTTAGAAAGTCTTATTAAATAAATGAATCTTATGGTGGAAACAAATAAAAGTAGGATGGAGGGAAAAGGAAAAAAATAATTGAAATATCATGCACATGTGCCAATTCCCTACAGTGAATATAGTAGTCACAATATATTGAAACATGAACTAATAGTTTAAAAAAAGAAAATTGTTTGGAAGAATACATGTTAAGTATTTAATGTGAGTTAAATGTGTTTGGAGATAGAATGAGAAACATTGGGGTTCCTTGGAGGTTGTAAATTAAGGAGGAAAGGAATAGAGGAAGATAATTAGTCTTTCACTGTAGATAGTTGTATTGTTATAAAGATTACAGTAAAATGTATTAGATTTTGATAATCTTAGAAAATTTACTATTTTTTAAATTAGTAAATTTTAAAAATTAATTATTTTTAATACTAATGCACACAAACTTTCAAAAAGAAGTGATTCAACTTTTACTATTATAAGAATAACATAGTTATTACTTTAAGGCAGATAATTCTCAAATACATGGAAAATAGACTTGCAGTGAAGAGACTGGACTCAGGAAGGCTATATCTTCTCAGAATAGTATAAGTAGCTCACCATTTGTTGACAGCATTCACTTAAGAAGTTGTGTGCCCATTTTAGTGTATTATTTTGTACACATTAGGATTGTGTCTGTTATTTTATTCTTGATCTTCTGATAGCTACTTATTCCTCATTTTCCATTGAACTCTGAGCTTTTAATATGGGGAGGCAATGCTTCATATTGCATCATGGGAACCTAATGTGAAATGCTGAGACAGATTTGTTTTGTATAACTTAAACTTTAATAATATTTTGTGAGAATAATATATCCTTTAAATTTTGGGCTGCTTTTCCAATTAAGCAAGTAACATAAAAACCAATCTTAAACTAGCTTAACTATAAAAAACTTGCTATCACATGGCTAAGAATCAGAAGTAGGACTCTAGGAATGCCATTAACAAAGCTAGATGATAAAATCAAGGATCTCAAAACAGCCCTTTATTTATTCTGCCATCTTCATTGGTTACAGCAATTGTTTCTCATTCTTAGAGGTAAAGAAATGTTATCAGAAGTCCTCCAATACTTTTTTGTCTCACCTCTAATTGGTCAATATTAGCTCATATTAATTTCATGTTAAGCCAATCACTTGTGGAAGAAATAGCATCACCATGAAGAACCTACACTGATTTTTTTTTTTTAATTTGGAAGCAATATTAGAAAGTCAGTGATATAACAGCAAGTGTGTTTAGGGGTGTTAAATAGCTGACTATATCAATGTTTTTGGATCATTGAACACAGCTGTTTGCAGTCTCCCTGTTTGAATGTCCACCTTGTATTCTTTGATACTGTGATTTGAGCAACTATTTTCAAGATGATAATATGTAATCTACTAACAGGTGATTTCTTACTGTTATGTTTTTTTGTTTGTTTTGTTTTTTTTTGTTTTGTTTTTTTTTTTGTAGTCCTGTATTACGTGTACCCTTACACCGCTTTGGTTTGTTTTGTGTTTTTCTCTTTTTCCTCTTAAATAAAAAAAAGTTTTAATTTAATTAAAAGAAAGTCAGTGATCATGATCTTAAAGTGTCAGTAAGGCAGTCTCCCTCTTTTGTTTACCCTCCCTCCATTGTTTTCTCTGTTATGCTTTTGTTTTTAGTCTTCAAATGATAGATAGTAAAGTAAATAGAGCAACTTAATTTTTGTATCTTCTCAGGTTTACTCGCATCCAATGGAGAGATCACCAGTTTCATTGCCTCTATCTAAACCAACAATTGTAACTTTAATTTCATTTTCTGACTAGTTAGGTTTTTAGGTTGTCTTCAGAACAATTCTCTCACATTATTACTAGAACTGTGATTGGATGCTTAGCTGCAATATCAACTGGTATCTACTACAATTCAATAGATTGTGTAGCTTAGCACGTGTATAACCTTTCTGCTCCACACTTTTGAAATTGTCTTTAATTTTGTGAACTGTTGGTAGAATATAAATTGCAAACAAATATTTATAAAATATCCTTGCAAGATCAATACTATTTTGTCTTTCAAGACAGTAGATTAGTCAGGCCATTCTAATTTTAAATAACTCATATTATGTCTGTTTACATTTTCTGAACTTGTTTTTTGACTTATTTGTGAGATTCATGCTGCATGTTGCAATGTACTCATTCTCACTTTTGCATATTATAATATATAAACATATAAAAACATATCTCACATACTGTTAATGGAAATTTGGGTGATTTTTGGTTTGGAAATATTGTGAATAGTTGAAAGTACTTAACAATTTTTAAATCACTTTGTTGAGGTATTCCAGGCTTACAGATAGTTACATAAATTTAATGTGAGCAACTTGGTTATGGCCATATATATTTAATATTAAGCAGAAGCATTGGAGATTTTCATAATAGAAGACTAAGAAATTCAAAACAACTTTCTTGTTAAGAAATCTATAAACTCTAGATAGAAATACCTTTAAAATCTCCAAAAATTCTGCTCAAAGGCATTGAAAATCTGAAAGCATAGGGAATATTTACTAACATAAGACAAAGGGAGAATATGTGTAAGAAGTGAAGATAAAATTTGATGTTTTTTGTTAACCAGGAAATTTTATTCATTGTACAAAGAACTAATGAAAGATTTAGAAGTTCAGCAGAAGTTTCTGACTGCTTTTTAAAGCTACCAATCCAGGAGCTTCAGGCTATGGCCCTCGTAAAATCCTTCACTTTTGGGTAAAATTTCAAGGGTAATACCCCAGGTATAAGGGTTAACCATAACTCAACAATTCTTCCCATGAACTCTACCAAATCTGCTCACTGATTCACATAAAAATTGCACAGATGTTTATTTGCATTATCACTAGATGTAAACCTCTATTCTTATGCTTAATGTCATTAAAAGTAAAATTAAAACTAACAAACTGTAGTACTTTTTCAAAAGTACTTTTTATATTCCTTCTTATATTATCTTATATATAGTACTTATATTCCTTGAAGAAATTGTCTTAAACCCAGTTGTTCTGTCAACTTTCAGGTTGTCCTTTGATTCAGATACCATAAATTTCTAGTAAATATTCATATTCTTTTACAGGGTTTCTGGTTTGCTTGTTTGCCTTTGGTTCTATCTTATTGTGTTGTACCTTATATTTTAATAAATCAAGTAATGATAGGGACATAAGTTTAATAGTTTCCCAAAATATTTTAAAAATCATTCTAATACTCCTTGAAGCCTATGCTATCTTTCTCCCGATTTATAAAACTATTTTTTCCTAAATATTTTTTAGTTATTTCTCCAAAGGTCCACATTACAATAAAAAAGATCAAATAGCATTTTGTTTTGGAAATATTCCCCCAAATATAAAGTGATGAGAGAAAATAAAATTATGACACAGTAAAAATGAATTTTATCTACCTAAAGCAATAAAACAGGTATCAGGTGCTTAAAAAAAATATTTGGACAAAAAGAAAAAAGAATGATTCAAAAAGTATATGTCATGAGAAAATGCTCTTTTTTTTTCTATGTGGATAAGGGCATGGCAAGACACTGAACAAGAAAGATGATCTTACTTTCATAAAAGATTTAAAAAAGGGAAAAGAATAAGTGGGCATTAATATTTTCCTGTGAATTTAGGGGAATGAAAAAATAGTAAAGCTGGTTACATTTTTTTCATACCAATTTCCTGAAAATTTGAAATTGTTCACATTGTGCATTTGATTATTTTTCAGTGGAGGAAAGGAAGAAAAAAACAGAAGGGAAAAAGAAAAATAAGATCCAAACAGACAAGAATAGTGCAGTTAAAAAAAAAAATTAGGCACAAAGTAGGTCAAGAAGGCAGACTAAATATTAACACATTTCTTTCACAAGATCTTTTAAGAGATTAGGAAAGGTAATTTAAGTGTAAAACTAACTTCATAGGGGAATTACTGAAAACATAAAAGACGATTTCTTGGAAGACAGGAAGCACACGAAGCGGTCCTGAAATGGCAGAAGAGGAGTTGCACTTTAGAAACAAGGGGCTTTCAGACAAAAAAAAAAAAACAGAAAACGCCAAACCTTAACAGGCAAGTAGTGGGCTACACTGAAATACGTTTCCGAAAGAGGTGGAGCCTGGACAAATGGTTCCTCCTGCCATCCCAGCCCTTGCTGGGGAAAGGAACTGCAGTGGGGGTGGGTGTGTTGGGCAGGAAGGGGAGGCCTCTCTACTGGCAGGAAGCTGCGCTACGAGAAGAGGGAGGAGACTGCAGCGACAGCAGAGGCTAGTGGAAGCCCAGGGTGGCAGAAGGTCCGCCGCTACCAAGAGGAAGAAGGACGCCCCCACAGGCTTAACACCAGGGAATCATCCTGTTTTACCGGCCCCGCCGCCGGCATAGATCCCTCCTCGCCTAAGAATCCTCCCCTTTCAGCGCTGGCAAGCACACATTCTACTGGATAGTAGCCCGCTGATCTTCCTTCTCAACAGGCTCTTAGCAGAGGCTGCAGCAAGGTGTCCGAATTGGGCACGTAAGGCTCGCGAATCCCTGCGGTGGACGCCCAGCAGGGCAAGACAATTGGTGGGGACCAAGAAGAAGAAGGGGGATGGGCTGGAATCCGGCAGGAGATAAGGGGTAGAGTTGGGCGCCAGGCTTTGAGTGGGGTGGGGGAATGCCGTGGGCAACAGGAAAGGGAGTGGCTTTAGAAACCACGCAAGGATTTGAAAATGAGCTCAGGAAAGCAGGAGAGGTGGGCACCAGGGAAACCACTGAAGTGAGCAGGGGTCAAGTGAGTCATCTGGGGCACTCACACAGGACAGTGGGGCTTTGACAAGGTGGAGAGATAGGTGATTTGCAGAGGCTCTAGAGTGGACACCAGGGGCAGTTCAAAAAGTGGGTACTGAAAAAACAGAAGTTTCTCTTTTCCCTTCTGAGATTAGAGTTCTTACTCCCAGGCAGCACTACCTTCTCTCCAGCCCTTCACTCCAGCTTGAAGGGGGGACTAAAGGGAGGAGGGACTGAGAGTGAGAGAAAAAAGAGAAGGGGGAGGGGAGACAGAGAAAGAGACAGAGAGAGATACAGAGAGAGAAGGAGAGAGACAGAAAGAGACAGAAAAAAAGATTGAAAGAACTAACTGCAGGCAGCTGCCAGTATACTTAGCATTGCTGGCAGGCTCCAAGGGAAACAGCATTAGGCTCAAGAACAGAACCATCACTAAGGGTGAAGTTGACCTTATGGCATACTGGGTGTTTGCCTGTATCCTGTCTCCTTGTCTTTGCAGGCATGAAGACCTCCAACACACAAGAGGCCGAAGGACAACAAACCAGATCCTCTGCAGGACGAGCCACTGGGTCAGCAAACTTCACAAAGAAGAAATCATCCCAGAAGAGGCAGAGAGGCAGACCTTCATCCCAGCCCCGCAGAAACATCGTGGGCTGCAGAATTTCTCACGGATGGAAGGAAGGCGATGAGCCCATCACCCAGTGGAAAGGGACCGTTCTGGATCAGGTGCCTATAAATCCCTCTCTTTATCTAGTGAAATATGATGGAATTGACTGTGTCTATGGATTGGAACTTCACAGAGATGAAAGAGTTTTGTCTCTTAAAATTCTTTCCAACAAGGTGGCATCATCACAAGTTAGTGACGCCAACCTTGCAAATACCATAATTGGCAAAGCAGTGGAACATATGTTTGAGGGTGAGCATGGTACCAAGGATGAATGGAGGGGGATGGTCCTAGCCCAAGCACCTATCATGAAAGCCTGGTTTTATATTACCTATGAGAAGGATCCTGTCTTGTACATGTATCAGCTTTTAGATGACTATAAAGAAGGTGATCTCCGCATCATGCCAGAGTCCAGTGAGTCTCCACCAGCAGAAAGGGAGCCAGGAGGAGTGGTTGATGGCCTAATAGGCAAACATGTGGAATATACCAAAGAAGATGGCTCCAAAAGAATCGGCATGGTTATTCACCAAGTAGAAGCCAAACCTTCTGTGTATTTCATCAAGTTTGATGATGACTTTCATATCTATGTCTATGATTTGGTGAAAAAGTCCTAAATGTTGGGGTAAAATTTCCCACATTTGTGGAAATAAATCCATAATTTGTAGACATGCCAAAAAATGCTGCTTTTTACTGTATTGAAAGTCTAGGGGTACCTGATGACCAGCATAATTGTAATTTTGTTCTGAAAAATACAAATTTATGTGGATGTGACATGCTGTGTATAGGCACTTTCTCTTAAAAAGTTTGGGTGTGTTTGGTGGATGGGGCATGAAAAGAAGGAACAGCTGTCAATTGAGTCTGTGAATAAAGTGCAGCAAAGAAACTATCATCATTCATCTGAAAATGGACTGGCCTTTAGCTGGTCTGGTTAAGGGGGGAGGGCGTTGGGGGGGACTAGTTATGGGCTGTAGGGAAAGAGAGAGGATGAGGCCACTGTTTAAGAACAGGAGAAAAGGGATCAGGAAGAAGGAGGCTTCCCGGAAGAGGTACAAACTATGAAGGGGAAACATCCAGGTGGGAGAATAGCAAAGGATAACAGAGAGTGAGATCTTGGAGCTTGGAGGAAAGCAAAATGAACTGAGTAGAGAGGGCCACAAGGATGGTCACAAGAGGTCCAGTTGGTAGGGATCTGGAGAGAGTTCTAAGACATACAGAGAGAGAGACAGACAGACAGGCAGAGTCTGTCATAGGTATCAGGCCAGAAAGGAGGGGATACTGAGCAAGGGAGAATTCTAAGAAGAAAGACTGATGAGGGGATGAGAATAGAGTAAAAGAGGTGTGGAGAGTGGGGTTCGTAAGGGATTTTAGGCTCAGGAATCAGTTGGACTCCTGGCAGTATCCACATTGACCTCTGTGGCTTTGTGCACAAAGAAAGTGACAACTGTCTAAGAAGGCAAGTATGAAAGTTCTCTAGAAGGGCATTTTGGTGGGGATGATTCAGATGAGTTAAGCAGGAGGCAAGTTTATACCTGTAAGGCTTTTCTTGTTTCAGGGAGTTTGTGCCACATCTGCGGAGCAGAACCTCAATTCTCAGCCTAAACTCACACGGTTCTCCATAAACTGGGCTGTGGGAGAGTATGCTATGCAGGAGAATGGAACCTTGCTGAACCCAAGTACAGCAGTCCCATCACTGGTCTTCCTCTTGCTGGGGCATCACAGGATAGAGCCTAATGTCTGTCAGGGCATGAGGAATACTTTGACGGTCCATGCTTCTTTCAGCATCTGCCTGAAACCTCATTTGGCTGCACCAAAGGGAGGTTCTCACACACTAGAAACTCCCCTTCTCTCTTGACCCTCACCCCCAAAGCTTCTGGCTATTTACATCTCACTTATAATTCTTCAACAGTGTTGATGCCCCCGCAAACCCGTGGGGAGCAGTATTGCAAATGTGTACAACTCTTTCTTTCCAGGTGATGTAGTTGCCGTGGAAAGCTGGCCTGGGAAACGTGATTTTGTATAAGTAATTAGTTTGACTGTATAATGAATGCTACATGGAGCTGTTGTGGACAAAAGGAGTGGCAACCACAATAAAGTCCCTCAGAACTGTGGTGTCCAGTGCATGGGTTCATGTGTTTTTTTTCCTCTTTGTCTTATCTTTATAGAATCCTCTTCAGATCCCTATCAAAGTCCTTTCTCTTGATTTTGTACCTCCACCCTGTACTAACTATACTTCTGTTCCCACAGAAGAAGTGTCAGTAGATTGCTGTTTCCTAAGCTTCCCTAACTCCATGCATAGCTGGGGGTGGTAGTGTGGTATAGCCAAGGACATTCCAGACGTTTAAAGAAGTTAGTAAATCCAGTTCATTCTGTCTAACTAACATTGACATGAGGTTGATGGATTACCACAGTCATTATATAAAGCAAGCCCACCTCAACATTGCAGAGATTATTTTCTTTCATACGTGACAGAATTTTGCTCAGCCAACACCTGGGGTCCCACTATAGAGCTTTCATTTTAGGTTTTTTTTTTTTTATTGTTTTTTTGTCTTTTTGAGACATTTTCTCATTATACAAGCCTACTTTACTTGAGCTCACTTTTTATCCCAGACTTGTCTGGAACTCACAACCATCCTCCTGTCTCAGCTTCCAGATTGCTGGGATTACTGGTGTGTGACACCAAAACTTTCATTTTAGCAGGAGAATCAGGAGGTAGCCAAGAGAAGTTATGGTGCATTATTTCAGTAGTAACATTAATTAGAAAAAAACAAAAAACTTCAAATGAAATTGGCAGAAAGGGACTGAGTATACAAGGCAGTGTTTTGAATGAATCTGGCACTGAGAACTTGGATTTTGAGTGAAAAAAATGAAATGATTGCTGGTATGGGCATGAGGGAAAGATGAGAGGTTTGAGAAAAATTGTGTGTGTGTGTGTGTGTGTGTGTGTGTGTGTGTGTGTGTGTTGAAAATATAACACCTCTATTTCACAGATATGTTTTTTACTTTTCTATTCTAAATTCTCCCCACATATATTATCCAAAATATTTGCTGAGGTATTATAATTACAACATAAGATATATTGCATCATCCTTCCTCTCTAAATAGGTGGATAGCTTCCCATCACATTAAAGGTTAGAGCCAAATTCCATTAAGTTTCCAAGCTGCAGGCTGGTAATCTTTCTGAGTCTTTGTTCCCCATGACCACTTTAATATCCTCTCTCTCTCTCTCTCTCTCTCTCTCTCTCTCTCTCTCTCTCTCTCTCTCTCTCTCTCTTCCTCCCTCCCTCCCTCCCGCCCCGTGTGTGTGTGTGTGTGTGTGTGTGTGTGTGTGTGTGTGTGTGTGTATGTGTGTGTATAACTATGGCAGTAATAAAGAGAAATTGCACAAATTGTATGATAATAATTATGTTTCTTATCATCTGAAAGTACTTAAGTATTCTTTAAATCAGTGCTCTGCCTTTGATAGTAACAAAAGTTACAGATTGAGGGTATATATTTTTTCTTTTGAAATTTAGGAAGTCTTTTAAACCACAAAATTCAGATTTTGTTCTGTGTCATTATATGAAATGTGCAACATTCTGTTTGCAAACTTGTCCTGTATGTAGTGGTGGAATATAGAGAAGGTTATAAAATTTGAATTTTAATACAAATAGAATATATATCATACTCAAAAAAGCTGCAAGCATTCAATAAATGTTGACCAAATATATGCAATTTAGAAAGCAGGTCACATGGTAAAAATATATTGCCTTAATATTGTACATTATTCACTATTTCTTTCTATGATGTAAGAGCATAATATGTTCTTACATACATAATCTGTTTCAAGCATGTTTTGTTTTTCCCCTTGCCATAGTGTAAGCTATATAATTTCATGATTTTTGTTCCTTTATATTCTCTGGTATATGTTAAGTAACTGGTGCGCATAGGATGCTCAACAAACAGCTTTTCTTTTCTTTTTTTTTTCCGGTACCAGAGATCGAACTCATGACTGCCTGCCTGCAAGGCAGGCACTTACGCCCGCTGAGCTAAATCCCCAGTCCCCTACAACAAACACCTTTTCTGTTTATGAATCTTACTAGAACTCAGGAAAATGGAAATTGAAATCATGTAACATTTCATATGTTTCAAGTCAACAACATGTATCAACTTTGACAATTTTCTCTGGCCACCAGTAAACAATTCAGAGGTCTTATTCATTACTACTTGGAGCTTTATGTTAAAAATTAATTTGTCATGATCTAGGGGTTATGGAGTTAGAATTTTCTGCCAGTTTCACTCTTTTGCATTGTTGAAAGACAGTGCTGCATGGATGTCATTAGTTTCTATCCTTATAAGCAAATCCCCACCTGTTATTCCTTATTCCTTTGATAGTTATTTAAACATTGGAAGTCTTTACAAAAAAGAGAAAGTAATTTCCAATATAGTAAAAGGTAGGAAATCTAACTGCAGTATAACGTATATAATGTCTCTTTTTAGAGTAAAGAAAAGGTATACTTACTGTCCACTATAAAAGTTAAATTTCCTTAAGCTAAATATTCTCCTTTAATGAAACCTATAATGTCTGTATGTGTGTTTATCTGCTGCCCATTTCATCTCCCTCTGTAGTAAGTGGGTCTCAGTATTCTGAGTAAATACCTATACTCTAACTATCACAGTAGTTTTGAATAATAAACTTTACTAGGTAAAATGAAGAAAATGCTTTTGCTTTAAGTGCCTAGAATTAGGTTCTAGGACAGAGGCTTAAAATATTCATTATTTGTTGGTTACCAGGTAAAGCAACTTGTCTACCACCATGATGGTTAACCTCTGGCCTATAAAAACAATACTGAGATTTACCTTGGGTCGGCATAAATTTTTGTCCTCTTTCAGAGAATAGTTGCAAAGACATATAATAATACTGAGAGAAAGTGCAGGGAAACAAATTATGCCAGGGACAGAACACTGCCAAATCACTTGTATTTATGTTGATTCACTTAAGCAATTAGTTGGCCAAGAAAATAATATTTATGAACAAAGAATGTAAATAGTGGGACTGTCTCATGATTTAACTCATCCATAAAACCCTTAGAAATATTGTGAGGAAACAATAAGTAAACTATAGATTCTTTGTTCCCCTCTCAGGGATATGTCTGAGACAAACAAACCCTGTGTACACTGTAGATCAGGACATTTAATAGTATTTGGACCCTTACTTCATCAGATTAGGTATATGGGGATGGTAAAGTTATCCACTTAGGAATGAGAAGCCGACCCCCCCCCCATGTAAATTCATTTAAAAACCATGTAGAATGATATTAGCATTACTACTATCCTGGAAGAATGTCCTAGCCACAATGTCTAAGTGATAGGACAAAATGTAAAATGCTATTTTTCTAAACTAGAATGCATTTAATTTCTCAAATAAGTAACTTTGCCATTGTGCTATCCCAAGTTGGCTAGAAGTTGAAAACATATAATACTAATTGCAAAATAATTCTGTATTTCTGGGTGAAAACATTGTCTATGACTAGAGAGATAGTGTCAGCAATTAGGACTTTACCATTTTGAACTGTAGCACTGAGTAATCTCAAAATATTAGGAGTTCAATATGATAAGACAATGCAATATGCAGAATCAGTAATAATTGCAAAGCCTTTCTGATGGTGCAGAACATGCCGCTGCTTCTACCCTCCTCTTTTATGTCAATCACAGCTGCTGTTAAGTAAAAAAATAAGAGATTGAGATCTAATCCTCCCTATTCGTAATGGATATCAAATGCTATATACAATCATCTAGGCAGTGTGGGAAATTTTCATGTAGAAAAGCAATCAACTTTATGGCTCTGTTAAATGTGGATCTCAAGGTCATTATTGTACTGAACTCATGGAAGCAAGTGGCATCCACAAGCTTATAACAGTTTGAGTAGGTTTATAGTGAGAAAATGTAGACAATATGATTTTGTAAGCCAATTATGTACTCTTGATGCCATCTCCATATCTGAATATATAGTAGGAACTGATGCTTGTATTTCCCTGCTCAATAAATGTCAGTGCAAAAAGTTTAGCATTCCAGCACGAAAATAAATGGGGGGCAAGAATAAATACTTAAAATAGAAACTGAGCAATTTACAGTAAGGCTTGAAAATTCTCTTTAAAACAGTCTTACATGAATGGCACACAATGTAATGAGATCCAATGGTGAATAATGAATTGCTGTCAAATAAATTCAGTTGTCTATTTTATGGTTCCAGCTCTTGTGGACATTGTGACCCTAAATTCATTACACAAGCTCATGGCACAAATTTATTATACAAGCTTATGGCACATGCTAGACTATTTTGAACACTGAAAACACATTTTTCTCATATGAGTGACATCTAAAAATTGAGATCCACCTATTCATCATAGAATTTTCATATTCCTCAACAACTTTGCTTCTCAAAAGTGAAATCAAAATGGATCTAAGATGTAAATGTCAAAACAGAAACACTTAATCTGCTTAAAAATAAAACAGAAGTCTTGAAGACATAGGCATAGATAAGGACTTTCTGGACAGAATTCATAAGAAGATATAATATCAAGAATCAGCAAATCAGATAATATTACATTAAAAACCTGCACAACAAGGGAAACAATCATTGAGTGAAGAAACAACAACAGAATGGGAACTTTATTTCTAGGTCTTTCTCAGATGACTAATATCTGCAATACATAAAGAACTAAAAAATAGTAGGCCCCTACAAAATAAAATACCAAATAAAAAATATGCAACTCAGTCAAATGGACATTTCTCTGAAAAATAAGTGCAAATGGTCCATAAATACATGGGGAAATGTATTATCTGGCATTAGACAAATATAAATTAAAACAACACTAACATCCCATTCAGTCTATAAAGGATGCCCATCATGAAGAAATTAAATAATGACAGATCCTGATATTATTTTCCAGAGGAACATTTCTACATTGTTGATAAAAATGTAAACAAAATCATTATAGAAATCAGTATGAAGATTCTTTGAAAATTAAAAATTAAAAATAGAAATTCCACTCAACCCAGCTATTTGTCTTTGTCTTCTAGGTATCTTTTTAAAAGATCACATGGCATCACAATATATATATATATATATATATATA